AAGAGACAGGTGGGCAAGGGCCTGCCCCAGCGCCAGCTGAAGCCACATCCAGACCATGTGGCATCCTGCTGGGCCTTCTTGGAGGGCGCCGTTCAGGCCAGAGGAGGAGTGCAGTCACGGAGAGGCTTCCCTGCTCCTCCACACTTCACTGCTTACATTGCTGACCCTGCCACACCATGGGTGGAGACACTGGAACACCCACCACATGCACACACAGTCACACTGAGGCTGGGAAGGACTGAAGCCTGTGCTCTTTCTTTATGCCAGGAAGGGACAGGAATCCTTGGTAAGGAGACGAACTTGCCCCTCCAGCATGTGCAGCAGGTCACCCTGTGACTAGACTTCGGTTTAGGGACACTCGGCACACTGGCTGCAGTTGGTGCAGAAGAGAGGTGGGAACCCGACTACAGCAGGAGCTGGAGTGCCTGCCTGCTTCAGATGAACACTAAACCGAAGAGATGCATGTGGGACAGGAGACGAAGAACAGTGTGGAGACAGAACTGTTGGGAGCTGGGGACTGGTACATGGAACACAAGGCAAATACGGACAAGGGTGAAGTCTGAGTTCAGACACGCCGGAGTTGAAGTTTCTCTGTAATCCATAGGCATCGACACACAAGGATCCAGAGCTCAGGAAAACAGCTGGAGCTGGTTAGGGCATCCTGTGAAACTGGCTTTAAGTCAGGTAAGGCCCACAAGAGAATGCGAAGCAGCAAGAGCTGCAGGAAAGCAAAGTCCCCGAAGAACAAAGTGTCAGAGGCACAGAGACAGACGGAGACAGAGACAGGCAGGCACCGCCAGAATGCCAGGTACCACAGGTATAAAGATGCGGAAAAAACAAACCAGAAAATAATCTTAGCAAGAACAGATCCAGGGCGGCAGTAGCACCAAAAGCCAGACTCCAGGAGAGAGGCAGTGGGGAGCCAAGGACAGTGGTGAAAACCATCTTGAAGGAAGCAGCTGTCCTGGGACCAGGAGACGTAAGATGGGGTTTGCTTCTGTTTGCGGAAGACCTTATCCTGCTTTCGTGCTATAGGGTGGGGCTGGGGAAGTAGACAGATTAAAAGGACAGGAGAAAGGATGGACAAGAACTGCATAACAACCTCCATCACTGGGCTGTGTTCATAGAAGTAAGGGGCTAGTCAAATGTGTAAGTGGTTCATACTGTGATGGAAGGGCAAACAAAGACTTAGCAAGACACTATTTATATAAAAACCATCCCAGATATCCAAACTCTTAGGGTTAGCAGAGATCTTAAAGTCTTCCAGAGAAAGCTTTATTAGTTGCAGTGACAGGAAGGCATCTCTGAGGCGTCCTAGCCCTGGCTCTGCTGCCCACAGCCAGGAACTCGGATCCTATGACTCGGTTCCTATGCCGGACAGCTCCAAATGCATATAAGGTGGTAGGAAGATTAAACTTTTTTTTTTTTTTTTTTTTTTGGTATCAGGGATTGAACTCAGGATCTTGTGCTTGCCTGCCAGGCAGGCGTGGTGCTGAGCTAACCTTGACATTTTTAATGAATGGCTAAACACAAGTGCTGGTGTGTAAGTGTAAGGTTCTATAGTCCTATGACATAAAGGTTTTCACATACCACACACTTGTAATCCAAGCTCCCTGGGAGGTTGAGGCAGGGCAATCACTAGATCAAGCCCAGCTGGGCAACTTGGCAGATCAGCTACTTAGTGAGACCCTGTCTCAGAACAAAGTAAAAAATAGGCTGAGAATGAAGGTCGGTGAGAAGGGCCTGGGTTCTATCCTCAGTACCACAGAAACATGCTCACCCTCAGGCAAACCTTCCCGCCAAGAACTTCATGTGCTCACGTAGGAAATGGAAGCACCTGGAGAAAATCCCCCCCTCCATTGGTGCTGGCTGGAGAGCAAGAGAGCTGCTCCTAAAGGCCTTCCAGAGCCAACCCCAGCTCCACTGAGGAGCCCACAGGAGAGGGCACCAGCTGCGCTCCTGAGTCCACAGTGGGTCCCTCCCTGAAGTCAGAGGGTGCAGCCCAGGGCCCCTGTGACTGCATTTGGTGCCAGGATGGTGGGGAGCTGATAGCACAGGATAAGTGTCCCTGTGAGAGGAGACTACAGACACAGACGTGACTGTCCATGGGCCAGGAGCACAGCTCTCTGCAGGTTAGGGGCAATCTGACCTTTCTCCGTCTCCAGACAGAAAAATGGGGTTCTGCCGTCTTCCCGCCACAGCCCACAGAGACTGACACAACCGCCTACAGCAAGTCTCGGTCATGGAGGTGAGGGCGGGCAGCAGTGCCGACTACATAGGTATGAAAGGGTGATAACGGAATATTACAAGCGAGTCCTGCTCAGAACTAAGATGAGACAAATGCCTGGGAGGCAAAGAACTAAAACTCAGAAATACAGCTGAGATAATGGTTATCTTGCAAAGAGTTTGTAATTAAACTCTGGGTCACATGGATTTGCTAGTAAGTTCTAACATATTTAAGGAAGAAATACAAATTTTACATAATTTTTTTTCCTAGAAAACCAAAAGAGACAGGGAACGTCCTAACTCATGTTGTGCAGCTAGCATCACACTGATAAAACAAGGCAAACAAAAAAATCAGACCAGCATCCCAACAACACATTAAAAAACTAAACAAAATGTTGGCAGATTTAACAATACACGGAATGAAGAATACATCCTTACCAAGTGGGACTTTTTCAGAACACCAAAGCTGATTTCATGATCAAAGCTCATGGTCATTTACCATATGCAGGAGTTTCCCAGGCTGCCAGGGAGGAGCCTCACACGTGCTGTGAACAAGAGAGATGAGACTGCGGCCACCTCCTGGAGGCCTCTGCCCATTTCCCGGGCAGATGGCATCTCATGGGCTCCTCTCGTGCCTTTGGGAACCCTGCATTCCTTGGCTCCTGAATAGCTTCCTGTGTCTCCCCATGCAGTGTCCTCCTGTGTGTTTCTATGTTCAATGCTCTTTTATTTTTCATTTTTTTGCAGTAATAGGGACTAGACTCAGGGCCACTCTACTACTGAAGCTACATTCTCAGCCCTTTTTATTTTGGGACAGGGTCTTGCCCAGGATGTTCTTAACTTGGCAATCCTCCTGCCTCAGCAACCTCTGGCGTAGCTGGGATTATAGGCATGGCACTGCACCCTTTTGATGAGGACACCGTCATACTGGATTAGGTCTCACCTTACTGGCATACTTTTAACTTGATTACTTCTACAGGCCCCTGCATAGAAACACATTCACATGGGTGGGCATGGTGGCACATGCCTGTATGGGAGGCCGAGAAAAGGGAGACCCTGTCTCAAAAATGAGAGTGAAGATACATCTCAGTGGTACAGCGCTTGTCTAGCAGACAGGAGGGCCTGCGTTCAAACCCCACTATTGAAAAAAAGGAAAAGGTACTATTCATTCACAGGTCCTGTGTTAGGACTTAAAATACCTTTTTAAGAGGAGCACAAGTGCAGTTTAAAAAAGGAAAAAGAAAAGGCAAATGATCATTTCACTCATTTCAGGAAAACGCATTGATGAAATCCAACTCCCATTCTTGATAAAACTGCTCAGCATCTAAAATCGGAAGGTAACTGGTCTTCAGCTTGAGTGTGTGTGCAGACCTGCAGCTCAGGCTCAGTCAGAGCTCAGAGGTAGCCTGCTTGCCTGGCACAAGCATGGCCCTGGGTTCAAGTGCAAAAAAAAAAAAGTCCTCGGCTAACCTTCCTAAGATTCAAACTGAAGTCTGAATACTTTTCCTTTAAGATCAGAAACAAGGAGAGGCTGTCTGCTCCCAACATTTTCAGTCACCATTGTGTGGGAGCTTGTAGCCAGTGCAAAGAGGAACAAAAGGTATGCAGCACAAGAAGTAAAACTATCTTTATTCACACACAGACAATAAATTCTGCTGTATACAGAATATGGTAAAATCTACAAAAAAAGCTACCAGAATTCATAAATGGCTTTTACAAAATGCATACACGATGTTTTAAAAATGAACTATTTCTATATATTAGCAAAGAACTGGAAATTGAAACTTTAAATGTTCACTTACATAGCACCAAAAAGGTTTCCTCACAAATCCCTTGACGTTGGGGTAATTGTGACAAGGATAGAGCTGACGAAAATGTTAACAGATCTAAATGAATGGAAGGGTTACGTGGTTCAAGAGTCACATGACATTACTGCTACTAAGTAGATTATGAGGTTGAGGCCAGCCTCGGCTACATAGTGAGGTCCTGTATCAAGTCAAAAAAGCTTTTACAAAGAATACGGACTGGAAATAAAACGCAATCTGATCTCAAAACTCTTTTCGAGGCTACAGGAAGAGAGATAACATCACAGGAATAGACTAAAGCCTGACAGTCCCACAGCAGCTTTCATCTACCGACTGTGGACATCGGGGTGACGCCACTGTGGGAAGGAAGCCTTCTGAACAAATGCTAACACATACTCGAGTAGAAAGGGGACCTCAGATCAGATCCACACCTTGCCCCGTATACAAACACCAGCCCTGTGGATCACCGGGTGCGGATCCCCTGACACACCGCCCCCGGGCAGGCCCCGCCCCCCGG